TTGCACACCCGCCCCCCCCCCCCCCCCATCGAAAAATTCCTGTGTGCGCTACTGCTCGAGTACAGTCGTAAGCTATTTGAAGTTTTATTTTTTTTAAATAAACCACAGCAATTTTCTTAATCTAAAACTAACCCAAAGCAAAAAATAGTTGAAGATTTAGAAGTATTGAAAATCAATTAAACATGTTTATCAAATTTATGAAATGTATTCCAAAATTTCACATCAGTTTATGAAATTAATCAGAAGTTGGTTGTGAAAAACTTGAAAAAACTCCAATCGTTAACTTTTTTTAGCATTTTTTACACGAGCAAAACTGGCAAAAATAATTACGATATTATTTTTTTTCCAACTTATTCATGAATATTGGCTTAGTTATGTTCATTCAAATGAACATTTTTTGGAAATGTGTGCAATACAAAATTAATTTTGAATTAAAAAAATTGGTTTCAGAAAACCTTCAGCCACAATTCATTTACTAATCCTTATTTTTTTATCTATACAAAACTAAGAGACAGAGTTAGATGAAATGAAGTGTTCTTTGATCTCATAAGACAAATACAAAATTATTAAATAGTTGACTGAAATAATGCAAATTCTTCACTATAAAAAGCCATGTTAAAATATGTCACACACTTTATAGGTACTCTCTCATACACATAATGTAAAAGAGGAAATCTGATGTCGACCTATACTCATTCTCATGCCCGCTTTTTTTGGTGTGGTTGACATTATTCATTTCTTATCCCCCCCTTTCATCTTTTAAACAAAAAAGTCCCACAGTTCTTTTATTTTAAATGTGGGAACCCCCCTGTCCATTTTACTTGATTAATAAAGTTAACTATAAAGTTTTATGCATATTGTTAGTTACAAGAAAGTAAAAATTTCACAAAGCATGGTAATGTCATAACAGAATGGTTTGAGGGAACTGAAGATTAAGATTTAACTTTGCGTACTAAATTATAAAGTTTTTTAAATGAATTGACGTTTAACAGTACATATTCCGACAGTTAGTTAAGTTTCAATATCGATTGTTCATTGTCCTATAAATTTATATCTTTTTTTAAATTTGTTTATTATTCGTTAAACAAAATTTAATTAAATTATTGATAGAAGAAAGAAGAAAAAAAAGGAAAAGAAAAGAAAACTCTAACAAATTCCTAAAAATAACAAATTTTTACTTGCCGTGAAATAAATAATATTATAAAAATATTTAGAAAGGAATTTTAGAGCGCAATGTTTTAAATCATGGAATAAAAACAAAGAATTCACGATGTTTAGAAGTCTGAAAATCAATTCATGTGTATTTAGGTCTGTTTAAGTTTTTAGAAGCAAAGTGCTTCTTTTAGGTAACATTTTTTTTCAATTTCGAAATAGGTTATTAACCTTGAAATACAAGAAATAAAAAAAGAAGGGAAAAGAATTTGATGCACCTTTCTATTTTAACTTTGGAAGAAAAGTTTTCTTTTCTCCACGGCTTGTGAACTTTTCGTCGAGTGGGATTTAATTTACTAGCCAAGAACGTTAAAATAAAAGATAAAAAATTAAAAATCCGTAAAAATAAGTATCAGCTAATTAAAAAAGATCAGTTTCTTGATTTATTAGATTTTAATTTTTATGTAATTTTGTTCTATTATGAAACAAATGAAAATGTTGAAAATTTCAAATACTGTTATTATAACATTTTAAAATAAACTGCTTTTATGAAAAGTAAACAGCTATTTTCAATATCGAATGATAAGTTGCATAAATAATTAATTTTATTTATTTACTTCAAAGCATTACAGCTGCAACATTTTTAATGCTTCTTAAAAAAATAATCCCACATTTCTAAGATTTATAAATTAAGGAAATAAAATATATTTGCAATATAATTTTTTTAATGTACTGAATTATTAAAAATA